GATTTTCTAAGGCTACAAAAAGAAGAGAAAAAATACAGCCTTTGCTTTTGGTCTAAAATTCAAGTACTGTTTTTTTAAAGCAGGCATTAACTTGACTAAAAGACAGACTTAAAGAGCTGGTCATAAAGCTACAGGATTATTAGAAATAGAAAAAATAACTCATTAGCATTGATAAAATGCCAAGCTGTAGCTGAAGACATGGGAAAAAAAAAATATCAGCAAGTTTTGGAGCCAAATTGGTAGAGCTCTTGGCTTAATTTATTGCATATTAAATTTTTAATATTTTCATGTATTCAAATATTTTAAGACTAAATTATGACCAGCAAATATTTAACTTATAAATATAATTTGTAACAATTTTAGGACATTATTTTATCAGAAAAAAATCTGACTTGTATTTTAGTAATGTTTGTCCAGATCAAGTTCTGGGCATCACAAGGACAGCCTTCTCCAAATCTAATTATTAATGGCATTATTGAATTCAACCAGATGTTTCACATGGATAAAACTAAGTGCATGAATAAATCAAGATCCAAGCGCACACTTAGATTTGACAGAAGATAAGGGAAGGTGAAACAAAAAGTAATGAAGACAGTTAATGAAAAACTATATATCCCTGGTTGTTAATATAACTTGAAATTAAAAAAACAAGATGTCACAGGCCTGTTAAACAATCAGTCTGCTGACAGAAAATGAGCAAGATGTTTCTCACATCATATCACTGCTGTCCAGCCAAGTTTTTAGCCAGCCTGAGCAGTAAACCTTCACTGCTTCCCAAAGGTAATTAAGAGATAGATATACTCTCAGTGTACAAAATACCAAAAAGAAACTACATTTCTATTAATAATTTAAGAACTTCAAATATTATCCTAATGAATAATCCTTTATGGAAATTATGTAAGTGAAAGCTAGTGTGGTGTGATTTAAAATACAGTTCACACTTGTTCTCTCATAACTGTTAAAATTAGAAGATCATTTGCATCTAATAATCTGCAAATCAGAAATTAAAGAGGAAAAAATATTTAGTATTTTAAGAAAAAAGAGAAGACATTAAGAAATTAAACTATTTCTAATGAAGAAAACCCTATTTATTTAAAGGAACATATCAGACATAAGCAAGCTATTCCTACAAAAGAATTAAACCTCTGCAAACAGGATTTTCTATTTAAATACCAATCTAGACTAAGAATTACAATTATGCTTCTATAATAATTAATTTAAATAAAGTCAAGAATTAACTTGGAAGTGTCTGTGGTGTATTGCTGTTGGTATAAGTTTACCTGGAAACACAGAATGAGATGATGGCTGGCTTTGGATAAAGGTGGCATAGAGGAAAATGTGGAGCATGCAGTATGCACTCCCTCTACTGGGCACTGAGATTATTCTGAGCAGGCATTCAGAGAAAGCAAAGGATCTGTCCAGGCATCCAGGTACTGTGAAATAAAAGCCCTTTTATAGCCTCTTCCCTCTTTCCCCAGATTCAGCTAAAAGTCAGTTTCACAGAAAAATGTATTAAAAACCCCCTTGTTTATACTCTAAAGCTGCATTTCCTATCAGAAACCAACACTTAACTCACATCCCAAACAAGTATTTAGCTACACAAGTAAGTACACAAGTAAGCCTTTGACCAGCACAGTAAGACTTTAAATTTTGACCACCCCCATCTATTTAAAAAAAAAACAAAACAGCTCAGGAAGGAATGTCTTGATGACTTCTGATTTGCTGGGGGCGCAGCAATGGGAAGAAGGAATCAATGTGTAGTCTGGGCAGCTGGGATGTATTAACATTTATAAAATTTGCTGCAAGGGATTTTTTTGTAGACATTCAAAGGAGAACCTTTGTCTTTCTTTCAACTCTCCTCCCACAGCTCCCGAGAGTTAAGCACAGAACAGTGTCATAGCCTACTGGTGTTGTCAGGGTTTAAGTGTGATGTAAAAATCCTCCTTTATAATTAAGACTTTCTGATGGTTTGAGTTCTTCTCTATCAAAGAGGAGAAGAAGAGGTGGTTTTATCTCATGTCACCATAAAACCACTTCAAGTCAAAGTGTTTCACCGTATAAAGTTCTGTGCTGTCCTGCAAGTGACTCAATACAACAGAAGTTCCATAAACCTACAAAAAGTTCTCCTGTAGCCTGCAGACCAGTGGGCCTTCTCCATTTTTCAGTAAAGGCAAAAAAATTACCAAGAACTTGTGCTAATTTTCTAATACACTCTAACTGCCTAAGGATGCCACTGCCTTGCAGACCAGTGCTCTGTGACCTGCAAAATGAATCAAGAAACAATGAAAAGCATAGAGGTAATAGGTAGTGAGGATTGCCAAAAGCAGACACCTTCTTGGACCAACCAAACAATTCTTCTGTCAAGGCAGGGCAGGTTAACACCCAGCTTCTTCCTGTCAATGCCATTTACGTCCAGCTACGCTGCTGATATATACATATTGAACCATAACATCAATAATTACTCCAAACATATACAAGTTATTTGCATCTCAGCCATGGGTAGGTGTAACTGCTGGGCTAAACAAGAGTACCAATGACACATGACAATGGCAAGGGACTACAGGACCTTCCCTCTTTTATGTGGCAATTTAAAACTCTGCAGGATCAAGATGTATAGCAGAGCTCACTGTAAGAGTAACAAAGCTCTTCCAGTTCAACTGTAAAGCCTCACTAAAACCTCCTATGTATCAACTTTCTTGATCTCAATTTGAGGGCAAGTAAAGCCTTTCCTCCCTCTCAAAGCACAGAACAGATGAAAAGGAGGGAAATTAGAGATGATGAAAGCACCGAGAGTGAGTGCAAACTAAAACCAGAAAAGCTAAGGAGACTGGACAAGCCCAAGTCCCCAGACAAGTTTCCAACTCCCCATCATTCTTTTTTAGATTTGCTAATAAAAGAAAACAAAACCACTTTCTCCCTGAAGGTAAGGCTTGCCTGTGGTGCAGGGTCATCATAACACTCAAAATGAACAAGCACACAATTCACCTTTATGTTCTCCAGCTCACAATATAGGTACCTCAGATGTCAGTCTCTAACTGCCATGAAAACTGCAATGCTATCCAAATGTAGAGATTGTCACGGACCAACTACAAACTAGACAATTCACACAGGACCCTCCACACTCACATACTTCATTTATACTCTGTGCTTACTAAACACTCCTCTTCATCTCTAGGTGCACTCATCTCTACACACGAGCAGATAACAGCACTGGGTGACTCCAGGTACTAGCAAATGACCTCCCTAATGCCCTGAGCACTGCCAGGAGCTGTGACAGTGCTCTGAAGGACAGGCGAGTAGCACTTCTTCTCTTGGACCTAAACATATTGAAGACAGCAAAACTTTGTCATAGCAAGAACTGTAGTTCCAGTGACACAAGGATGTCCAGACAGAAGCAGCAATATCTAATACAAACAGCAATGCTGAATTCAAGAGGAGCTGTGTGTAGTGTTCCCCATGCTGACATGTACAGATTTGACAGATGGGGATTTAACCATCATGGCCTAAGAGACACTGTTTCTTTTGCTCTGTCACACTCATTTTACTGTGTTTTCACAACCAAGCCATCTGACATGAACAAAAGATAATTTACACAGTTTAGTTCTGCAGCACAAAGCTCTCTATGTTCAGGTTATAAATTTAAGGTAACTCAGCACTAAAACTAAATGTGGGTACTTTCTGCTAGAGAAAAGCCCTAGGAATAATTATGCATAGTTTTAAATGCCTAAGTTAATACCTCAATCTGCATTGCTTCATTTTGAATGTATTCTTTGTGAGTACTATTTATTTTCTCTTCTTTATTTTTCTAATGATGAAATTTATTAGCTTTCAACTTTATCTCGATAGCACTGATCAACCTCCAGAAGTGGTAACAATACCACTTTAAACACACACACATGCATTCCCACACACACAAAAATCAAGGCTTGAACATCCTTTATATCTTGCAAGAAATATAGCAAGCAATATTCCATGAAGAGGTACAGCAAATGAAGTCCTGTCAAGCAAATGGCAGGTATGACAGCAGATGTCTGGACTCCTTCATAGCTGGTTGCATAAAGGTAGCACACATAATTCACTAGAGAAAAAAAACCCCTCTGACAAGACAGTCTTTCAGTATTTTTCATTCACAGTTGGCATTTTTGACTGGTGTGGTACATCAGTAGGTATTAAGTCAATGAACCAGATTAATCTTGATAAAGCTTGATTTGCACAATGAAACCCAAGCTTACAACACTCGGTCATGGCTAAATGAGGCTACCACAACTTAGTCTGAGGTGTAATGTCCAGATCAAATTCTTACAATCCAATCATAAACCAGACTTTACTCTGGACACTGACCCAATGCACTTATTTTCATGTCAAGCTATAGAATAATTTTTGCAGCTCTGCCTTTTAGCTACATAAACAAGCCAAAGACTACCCTTCTGAACCTGAGTCAAGTACTTGATCTTTCATCCTTGTTTATTCACAAGTTTAACCTATTTCACACTGTCATAGGTAGTTAGTATTTTTTAAATCTTTTGGCACTTTAAAGCTTCTTAACACCTAATTCTTTTAAGATATCCTCAGTCACATTACATGCTTACTAGAGAGACACTACTTTCTTCAATTGTGAGACATTAGCACAGCTCAGCAAGTTGTAAAAGAACATGAACAATACAGTGTTTACTGAGAAATATACACAAAACTGAGGACACAGTGCTACACACACTAAAAGTAAATATAAACTGAACTTAACCACTTCCCTATCCTAAACAACAACAGTGCTGCTTTAGGTTGGTTCCTCTAATAAGCAGGCCCTTACATATTCTACAGGTGTTTAGTGTAGCTTCCTCGGGTGAAGCCACAATCAGCTAAATTACTGTACTTATCAATAAAACTTTTGTAGAAAAGCTTGCCAGATTAAGGCTTAACAGAAAGTGCATTTTTTTTAACACAAACTGAGCATTACTATTACTGTTGTCCTCTTGAGCACAACAGAATTTTAAGAAACTCACCACTTTTCTTTTTCTCTCTTTAAAGGAAATGTTCATTTCCTTGTATTTCTTCATAGCAGTCTCCATTTTATTCTTGAGATCAATGGCACATCTGAGTCGATCATCATTTACTCCTGCTTTGGTAAATAACTGCAAAGCAAGAAATCAACATTCATGTAATTTTTTTCTAGACAATTGAGACCAAAAATATTTTCAATTTTCCTTCATAATTCATGAAACAACATTGTCACAAATCCCTTTATTTTACAAGCAGCAATTAGTGAAGTCACTTTCCCTGTCTAGAGTAGAAAAGCTAATAGTAACTACTAAAGACAAACAAGTGAACAGTTGGAATAAACATTTCCATGCATGAATCTCTTAAGCAGTAACATCAACTGACAGGAAGGACACATTGTTTTTCTGATACAGACATGTCTGACAAAAACAAGCTGTGTTTTACTTTAACCCTTTCCAAAGAAGCCCCATTTTACTCCACTTTTTTAAAAAAAGTAGAACTCCAAGTAGCATACCTAACGCTGACAGCCAGCAAACAAGTTACGTAGCTCTTGTAGTCTCCTTTTGTGTACCCATACTGAAATAGAAATATTTTCTATTTGCAGCAATGTTTCAACCTTATTTTCCTTCTTGCTCACTCTCCCTCAGGATTTACTGTACTCCAGTCCTGGTTTCTTCATCTTTTTATTAATAAAAAAAAATAAATGAAATATTGTCTCTTTATCCCACCTGAATCCAGGACTGCACAGAAGGCCAGAACTTATTTTTAAGGAGTCTGTGAGCATCCATGATATTATTTATTATGGCAGTATTATCTTCATCCTCTTGCACTTTTATATCTGCTCAAAACAAGGGGAAAAAAAGAGTTAGCATACAATGTTTATAGTATCTTCACTACAGGAGCTAAAGAAGCTAACCAGAAGAAATGAACCTGAAACTTTCTAAAATATTTGATCACTGCAGGGAAATTTACAAACATCAGAAAGTTTCTTTGTTCAGCAATAACTATTTCTACTACTTCTACTAAAATCAGGGGAAAAGCTTTCAGTCCAGTGATAACAGAAAGAATTGTTAAGCCATCACTACTAAGGAATCTCTAAATAAACCACAGACAAGTGCAGTCTTACTATTTACATTACATCTTGTCCTGAGTTCCACTCAATTGACTGGGCCTTATTGTACTAGTTTCTGCACATTCAATATGGGAAAAAATCCCTGTCTCAGTGGCAACAAGGACTTGATTGTCAAAGCAGCCAAGTATACCACTACTGAATAAAAATGGTATTTTTCACCTGTTAGTCATTCATAAGCTCCACAAATAAATTTCCAGTTCCATTGTCTGCAAGCACAGAAGCAGATACCTATCTTACTGGCTGTTTGCACATGGAATTCCATTAGGACAGTCTTTGTAAGAGACTTCACTTAGAGCACCAAAACACAAACCATCCTAATTTTTCTAGAGGTATTTCATATTAGCAAAGGTATAATTGTAAACCTGAAGACTTCCTAGCAAAACCCCACTTGACACTTCTTGCAAGTTGTCAGTAGCAAGGAAATAAAAAAAATTTATGAAACAGCCAATTAGAAGAATTTTAAATTAGTAGCTTATACCCTAGCTATAGAGAGAAACACAAAGGTGAATGGTGAAGCATATGGAAAATAAAATTATGTACTATAAACAGATTGTAATTTTTTTTTTAGACACAGGAAACTAATCTTTTTCCAGGTATTATGAAGTGCTGCAAGATGGGTATGACAACAAAAGTTCAGTTTTAGACAGTAATTAATAATATCTCTAAATCACATACAAGGAATACAAGGACACCCAAAGATAAGAATGGTTACTAGATGAACAAGAAATAGAATTCCAAAATATATGGTGTTCAGGAACCCCAAGCATTTAAGACAGTAATAAAAAATCACAACAAACTCCAACTTCAAAGCAGTTCAAATACTGTCTTCGGCTCTATGTGAAAATTTTTCCAGATACCTGTGGAGATGTCAAGGTCTAGAGTATACTTATGTGAAATGAGCCCATGGCTCCTAACAAAAGTCTGGTAATCATCATCACAGGGAGCAGGGACCTCAGATTGGACTTCCAAGCATGTGCCTCCATCTGGTTCTTTCTGCTCAGGTTTCCCATCTAACTCCTTGCTTTTATCAGTTCTGGCACACTGAGAAACAATGTCCTTGCTGCAGCATGGCTGTTCATCATCCACATATCCAAAGAAGGACTGGTTAGCTTCCATCTGGGATGGCAGGGGAGATGCAGATCTATCCTCATTAGAAGTCATTTGTTTGCTGGGTGCCAGTTCTGTGTCATTCACAGTGAAGTCAAAAAGATCTGGAATCAGAAGCTGGAAACAGTTTTCCATCTCTGTCAGTGTGTTGGCAACCTCCTGGGACATTTCTATCAAGAGACAATTGGTTTAGAATATTGTTAAACAATGTAAAATGCTAACATCTCCACAGCAGATCTAGAAAACAAATATAACCGCCAAAGGGGTAATCCATATATTCAGTAATCAGTGATAATTTATCCATACACATCTCTCTCCATTGCATAAATTTTCCTTATAAAAATGACAATAGTTTTCTCCATCAGGAAATCTAGAACTTCCTGAGCAAGTCACTTAAAATCAGTGTTCCTCCTCTTCCAATCCTCTCTAAAATTTTACTATGCATCAAAGATGACACAAATACTTCATAAAATTTGAATAACAAGGTTCAATGAGGATATTCTTAGTGATGCTGGTGGGTACTCCCTTCAACTACAGTTGCTTGTAGGTGCAGACATGAATATAGCTTACTGCTGGAAAAGATGCCACCAATAAAAGTTAAGAAGGTTAAATCCCTTTAAAATTCCACTCTCATGCATGAAAACATTTCCATCATGCAGAATAAATGCAGGCACAGCTGCCAGCAATGCATATACCAAAGTAATTAAATTAAATAACCCTTTTTAACTGCAACATAATACACTTTACTATCTCTGCTTTTCGTCTCTGTTACAGAAATATATTTGCTGTGTACAAGTTGCTTAGAGATTCAGACCCCAGTTAGACACAATTTTTAGCAGTAGCATGATAATTTTCATAGATATCTTGCACTGCACCCTGGATTCCTGTGCAGATCATTTAACATGACGGCATATGCAATATAATTAAGGTCATCAGTCCACAAGGCATTGTGAAGTTTGTGCCTAGTCACAGACACAAAAATTAAGCCACTAGTTACAAAAAGTCTTGTGATACACTTGCTCAAGTTGCTTGAGGTTATGCAGTTGTACTTTACTGAATTACACACCAGGCCTTTGCTTGCTACCTTCATTTTGAAATATCTTTTCATACTGCCTGAACTCAAAGGACTCAATTTCCCCAATATTCTGTAGGTGAGAGAGACAGAGGGTGAAGCTGTACAAGCTGTAACAGCTGGACTATTCCTGCCCTCTGCGGTCAGCATTCTCAGAATTTGCTACATATAACTTCCAAAAAGGTTGGTTTAAAAACTAACTAACTAAAAGAACCAAAACAACTCACCTTCCATTTCTTTTTCAGCTCTTTTGGCTTTTTCTTTGTAAATGGTATCCAATCGTTTTTGCTTCTCTTCCTCCCTCCTCCTTTCAGCCACAGTTCTGGCATGCACATCTTGGAAATCTACCTAAGCAGGAAATGAAGAAAAAAGTATAACATTCCTCCTAAGAAGTATCTAGAAAATCCATTTCCTCAGATTCTTATCAGAGGTGAAAAATCCTCTGACATGAGTGATCAGCCAGCAGCTCAGCAGTACTTCCTTTTATCTCTTCTCGTCCTAGAATCAATAACTACAGTAATTCTGAATGGAGTTTTCACTTCTACTAATAAAGGACTGCTGAGAATCAATGGCCTTAAGAAAGGAATCAAGGTCGAAGAACAAACCCCTTTCATTTCCATGTCTAAATTGTGGAAATAAACTAAGCTTTGGGAGACCTTAGTCACAGCACTGGAGACATGGGGCTATGGGGAATGGGCAGAAAGAGACTAACACAGGGTAAGTATTCAAATGACATGAGAACATCACACTAGGACCACTATGAGCAAAGGAAATTCACTATTACCACAAGTACACACAACATTTCCTGAAGACCTTTGTAAGCAAGGAAAGCAGAAGACATTCAATCGCATTTAAAAAATACCAAAGTTTGGATTTTACAATTACATGTGTTAGATTTGGGGACTGAGGGAAAGATGAGCATTCAGTTTTACTTTAGATTCATGTGAATAAAATATAAGCATAAATCTGAGTGATTCAAAACTCTGTTTCTTAAAACATTTGGAAAGGTTTGGGGTTTTTTTAGTTTGTTCTTGGAAAGGATTGAAAATTAAAATATTTTTCACTTCTATTTTAAGGAAAGTAGTCTTGATTGTGAGCCTTGAGGAGGCTTCAGGGAGATCTTACTACAATGTTCCAGTACTTACACGGTGGCTACAAAGCAGATGGAGACTTCCTATTTAGGAGTCACATGGAAAAGACAAGGGGTAATGGGCACAAGTTGCTCCTGGGGAGATTCCAATTGGACACAAAAGGTGAAATTTTTACCACGAGGATAATCAAACATTGGAATAACCTCCCAAGAGAAGTGGTAGATTCCCCCACACTGGACAGCTCTAAGTCTCAGCTGGACAAGGTGCTGAGCCATCTCCTGCCAACTATAGTAGTATCTAGAAAGGTTGAGGTTCCTTCCAACCTGGCATTCTGTGCTATTGTATAAAGAAATCCATCCAAAAAGAGAAACTGATTCTTTCCTTTTGATTGCTACCATAAAACTTCCACTGACTTCTACACAGGCTGAGTGCTGAGCAAGCCTGTACTTTGCTGCTAGTAAAGTCCCCAGACTCTCTGGTGCCCTGTCTATATTACAAGCACCCATTGAATTTTTGTTGTTATTGCCCCTGCTAGGTGATAAAGTCAGTCAACATCCAGTAATGGTTCCCAGATACTGGCATTCTACACCAACATGTTAGAGCCACACAGAGAAGATCCCAAAGATCTCTCCTATAATATGCACCTGGACTTGCTAGCCACATGTGAAGCAAACCAAGTCCATCCTACCACTGAATTTAGAATATTTTTTGCACAATCAAGGATTTCATGACTGAAAAATTTGAATATTTGCTCAGCATTAAGCAAGCAACTCTACTAAACACGACAGAAATTAAAAACAAATAAATAAAAAGTATAATGCCTGAACTTGGGCTTAGACATGTTCTAAAGTGTCTTACTATATAAATCTTCCTGCTGCTGAAGAATTCCTATGGTCTGCAGTAAGTCTTAAGGTGTCTACAAGCATCATTCATGCAAACACTTTAAAGACACATGATTTTATATAAAAGCCTCCAGGAGCAAAAGGATAGTTGAGCTTTCACAGAAACTGACATGAAGAGTCTCCACCAGTTTATGATAAGGAGCACACCTACCAAGCTCTTTTTTAATGGGGGAATGGAAAGCACAGAGGGAAGGCAGGGAAAAGAACCAGTTGCACTCAAAATCAGCAGAGTGATTTTCTGGCTTTTGGGATCTGATTTTTCTACCAAGTTTGCACACAGTAGCAGGAGAAACAGATCCTCCCAAGGAGCAACATCACCCACAAACATGGAACAAAGATACAGAGCCCAGGAACTACAGCTACTGTTTCCAAGAGAATCAAGATGTTTATTAAAAGCCTAATACTAATCACTGTAGATAGTGTGAATGCCAGAATAGTACTTCCGATTTTATTGCTGCACCTCAAAAGAGATACTAAAGCAGACGAATGTCCAAAACATAGCAAACTGAAACCTAGAGGCGAGAACTAAAAGCAAGTGTTTACATACAGGAAACTCTTGTTTAATAAACTTCTTGTATTGACACAAAGTAACACTGCAGCTGAGGGGAGCCTGCACCTACACTTAACTGTCTGTTGCACAGCTCAGTAAAGAGATCAGGCTAATTTAAACTGGCAAAACAAGACTCAATAGCTGGCTACCCTCAGTTTAAGGCCTAACTATTATTTCCTTTTTAAACAGCCTAGACTCTGGGGCTTCCACCTAGGAATCAGTGGGTAAAAACCTACTGGTGATCAATACTTGTTGCACTCTGAGAAAAGGCAAGTTCAGACTAGTTCTGGGTACAAGCCTGGGGTTTTTAAAACTTTGCAGTACTGCAAGATGAAGAAAAAGTGGGGGTTGTTTTTAAAAGGCCCTGCCCAACAGGATGTCTCCTAAAGCCAATATCATTTTCACAGCTTTTCTTGTATATTAATTGATTTCCTGGCTTTAAACATCTCCCAGCGACCCAGACGTGCAGGAGTAAAAACGCCGAGTACCTTCTTATTCTGCCTTAGGAAGTGGTATCCCAGGGAAAGCTGCTTGTAGGCCTCCCCGTACTTCTCATGCCACTCTTGCACCGACCTCAGGGCAGCTTTCCGCAGCTTCTGCGCCACTTCTCTGGGCGGGGGAAGAGGCTGCTCGTGGTCTATCCCCACGGTCAGCTCCAGGAACTCCTGGAAGTTGGAAATGACCCGCGTCCGGAAGGGATGGGAGCGGGTGAACAGCTCCTGCAGGATCAGGAAGGCCGAGAAGCGCATCTCGGCGTGTTCCTCCCGCAGCCGCGTCATCAGCAGGTGGTAGGCGTGGCTGATGTGCTCCTCGGAGGACCTGGGCAAGGAGGAGCAGGTATGAAAAGATTCAGCACAGAAAACCACCAGCTAACAGAGAAACAATCTCCAGGGTTAAACCGCAGCCCCGGCGCGGCCCAGGGCGGGCCTGGCCAGGCCCTCGGCTCCCTCCCCCGGCCCCGGGGCGCAGCTTCACCACCCCC